AGTAGAATAGAATAGAACCTTCTCAATTCATCAGATGGCATTCAATGAATTGAACAGAATATAACAGAGTCCTATGTTATAATAATAGAACAGAATAGAATTAATCTATCTGTTCATTATCAGATACTACTTCTGCAGTAGAATAGAATAGAATAGAATAGAATAGATCCTTCTCAATTCATCAGATGGTGTTCAATGAACTGAACAGAATATAACAGAGAATCCCATGTTAATAGAATAGAATAGTTCTGTTTTCACCAGATGCTGTTCTTTGAATAGAGAAGAACAGAATATAATAAAAAGAATACAGTAGGTCCTGTTTTCAACAGATTTTCATTCACAAATAGAACAGAACATCAACTCTATCTTAGAATAGAACAGAATAGAACAGAAAATAACAGGATTGTTCTGTTCTATTCCATGAATAGAATCTATATTCCATGAATAGAACATAATAGAATAGAATAGAATAGAATAGAACATTTTTCATGTTAAATATTTTCTGCTATTGCAGCATAATTTGTAGAGAAATTTTACAAGCATTACATTTGTTGAAATCTGCTAAACATCCCTAAAAGCCAGACATACACCGGCACAATCAATGGCACATATTAAAATTTGTGCAAATGTATAGGTTGCATTTACACAGATTTAGAATGTGAAATAAGCAGATTTGTGTAGAATTATAACATTAATAATCAGAGCTGAAGGTTAAAGCTGACACTGATGCCCTGAACCATGAAATGGACGTTTGAGCTATGTGTACACCGCTATGGAGGTGTCTTTAAGGAGCGTCCATGTGGGACAGGCTTAATTTAGCTCTCACAGAAGAGGATTCTGACACAGATTGTGTGTGACAGCTGTTTCCTCCCACACATACACAAACATGCTTTCAGACTTTCTCTTTTCCTCCCGCTCATATGCACACAGACACACAACCCTATTCAGAGATAAAAACCTTCCTCTGGAAAATAAAATTACTGTTTAAAAATGAAAAATTGGAATAAATAAATGCGGAATGGGTAAAATGGGTGAACCATTGCTGAGACACGGATGAGAAACCCAGGTGCTGATAATTAGTATGTGACATTAAAGCAATTAAACTCATTCACTCCCTAAAAAATGGATTATGTTAAAACTGTTTGCATAGTTTAATGCTTCTCTATGCTTGTTGTGCAGTATTGTGTTGATAATTTTCGCACTTAGCATATACAAAGCATATTCAAATAAAAAAAAATAAATCCGCCAGACAATCAATGTGTTGCTGTATAAATTTGTAAATATGAAAATAAAACCTCAGAGCTGAAAGAGGCCTGAGAGACTGTATCTTTCTTTAGCCCTCTCACATTCAAACAATACTGCCTTCCCAAGAGTCCCAAAAGCTCATCAGAAACACTTTATCGCTTTCATCGCTTCATAGTCTCCACAGCAGATGCTTCCCCACACACCAGTCCTAGACTCCTGCAGTATATAAATAAATCAGCCAATGAATTAGAAAACTCTCTGACAACTCCAATTGTGTGCTGACAGTGCTGTGGGACACCTGAGCATCTGTTTCAATTCACACCTCAGCACTGTCAAGAAGCTCTTCAGGGGCCGTGAGGAAGTCAAGCCTTTTGTGGTGTTGTGGGAGGTCTTGACTTAATGCTTGTTTTCTTTGGGTGAGTTGTAGCAAAGGGAGTGTGATGGTGGGCTAAAACAGCTGTTCTTAAAGGGTTTTGCTTCAGGAAACAGGTTTTTATTGCTCAGAAGTTGCTTTTTGAAACTCTTGAAGGATCAGAACACATACGTTCTAGTCAACTTTCTATCAGATGTTTTTCCTAAGGTTTTTTAGATAATTGTTGACTAGGGTTGGGGTTTTTTTCGGTACCGGTGCCAAATCAATACTTTTAAAATGGTTCCGGTGCCCAAACGGTGCCTGAACCGATACTTATTAAAAAAATTAAATAAAATTCCCCAAAAAATGATGGATTGGCCATTAGCACTATAAACACACAATATCTGTTTCGTTCATACTGGATGCCAGAGGGCGCCCTCACACATAAAATCCACATACCTAGTCACAGAAGTAGCGGAACTCATGACCCTCCAGGAAATCCCTTATATGGACAAAGGCGTTGCTATTATAGCTGTAACTGAGTAAACAGAAGATCTAAACGTTTTGAATGATAAAACAAAGACAATAAACACTCGACTGTGACAATATAGTTTATCTGTGTTATTCAAGCCATCTCTGGTATTTTCATAACAATTAAGTATATTTATAATCCATTGCTGATCGATGTATTCTTTTTAAAGTAGCCTATGGAACATATTTTCTGCCTCATTCTGTGACAAGAAGTCACATCAGATCACAAAAGGAAGCATTTGACTGGTGTTGTGGAGTAAGAAGGTTATAATGTTTATAATGTTTATAATGTCTTCTTTTGGACAACAGGTTTAGAAATGTGAATACAAGGGGAGTTTAGCTTTAGGCATTTTAATTTAAGCATGTTTAGCTAACGGAAGGCTATTTGCTGCCATCAGAGCAAGTGTAATTACTGCATTCACGCGCTCCTCGAATGCTCTCGTTTCCCGAGTTGTGCTTTTAAGTCGGAATGTGAAAACAACATGGACACTCTCATTACTACAAAGATTTATTGAATTTGTATTATTAGAGCTTTCTGACTTGAGTTCACGTGCATTTTCTCAGTCTGGAAATTATTTTTCACGTGCGGTGCCGGTGATGATGCTTCTTACGTCCGTTTCGGAGAACCAGAGGACAAATATTTCAATCGATCGCTCAGGCATGGCACCGAAATCTGCGTTCTGATTCGGTTCTAGTACATACCGGTTACATAGGTACCGGTGTCATATTGGTACCGGGTTTCAGTACCCAACCCATGTTGACATACAGTAAAGTAAAGTGCTACAGCTTTTTTTTTTTAATCGCCAGGACCCATTTTAGGTAGCTTTTAGTGAGCCCAACAACAGTCTATACGGGCTAAACTGTGAATCATTCATCATTGCTTTGGCACAAAATGCATTCAGTGACTACATCTTTAAAATGGCATTATTCCTTTTTCACTTAAACACAATTATATGTAATTTAATTGTAAAAAATAAAGGGATAGTTTAATTCACCTAAAAATGTAAATTCTGTCATCATGTACTCACCCTCAAGGTGTTTCAAGCCTGTGATGAACATAAAAGAAGATATTTTGAAGAATGTTGGTAACCAAACAGTTTCTGGTCCCCATTGACTTCCATAGTCATTTTTTTCCTATGCTATGGAATTCAGTGTGGACCAGTAACTGCTTATGTTACATTTTTTTCCACCCAACTGCTTACACACCAAATCTTTACTTGTCACACAATTTCTGAAACCTGACACTCAAGCATCAGAAGCACACACCAAATCTGCAAAACCATACACTAATTCTCGGCCTTTGACTCAGTTTTCAATTTCATAAAACACTTTTTGCTAAACACAACACACAATTCTCTATGTAAAACACAAAAATCTAACAGGAATTAATATTATGGCAAGGGTGTTTGCAAATGTTTGCTTTTGAGATGTGTTTGTGATATTTTGAATGCAGTGCTTCATTTTGCAAGAGATGTGAGGCATTTTGCATTTTGTGTGTGCAATTCTTGGATTTGTGTGTAAAGTTTTGAAAAAAAAAAGAGGCAAAGTTTTGAAAATGTGTGTAAGCAGTTGAAAAAAAACTGTAAGTTCAATAATACAAAACTGAATAAGACAGAAATCTGCTACTTTGTTGTTAGTGTTTTGTAAGGTCACTATATTACGAGTGACAGCGACAACCTTTGCCAGAGTTATGGAAAAATGACTTAATTTGAGACATGAATGAAGTGTTTTGGTTGTGTTATTGCATTCTGGATGTGAACTTTACATCTATGCCAAGCTGAAGGTTAGAAAAGAGCACTACATGAAAGGTTTTGAAAAACTGACATAACTATGAGAAATAAGTTCTATAGCGATTGTAAAAAAAAATTAATGTAGATAGCATACAGACTAGTCTGATCAAAAAAAAAAGAAGAAGCTCATATTGAAATCTCTGATTTAGATCTTCTCTGAAAATCCAAATAATCTAAATGCAATAAAGTAATTTGATCAGTTTAATATTGTTGCTCATAACAAACAATTCCTGTAATAGTTATCAAAAAGATCCATCAATATGCAAAATACACCATGTTTTTTTAAATAGATTTTTTACTTGTGACTAAACATACTGACACAAAGAAAAGGAACTGCAAATGATGCAAGTAAGGTTTTGATATATTTATATGTTATGAAAATAACACCACAGGCTGAATGGAAGTATAATCTGTTGGGAACTAAGCCATTTGGGACTGCTGTGTGGTGGGTGACAGCTTTCACAGGATGTGATTTAGCCAAGACTCCCATGTTCTCTGTTCCATATGTCGCTTCAGTCAGACTTTCCATCTTAATAATGAAACACCCAGCCCCTGGCCTCAGTCTAACACCATAGCTCTCTCTCTCTCTCTCTCTCTGTTGTTTTTTTTCGGTCTCTCTTAGTAAAATAGCAACTTTGCATTGACAAAGCATTAGTAAATAAATCAATAGTTTCAAATTATTATTATTGTTATAAAAAAACAAAAAAACTGCTGTCTGTGGGTCTGTACAGTTTTTTTCAACTGCTTACACACAAAACTTGTCACACAATTTCTAAAACCTGACACTCAAACAGCAGAACCACACACCAAATCTGCAAAGCCACACTAATTCTCGGCCTTTGACTCCGTTTTCAATTTCATAAAACACTTTTTTGCAAAACACAACACACAATGCTCTATGTAACACACAACAATCTAACATGAATTAATATTATGGCAAAGGTGTTTGCAAATGCTTGCTTTTGAGATGTGTTTGTAATATTCTACATTTTGCAAGAGATGTGTGTAAGCAGTTGAAAAACACGGTAATCATTTTTGAGGTGGTAACTCCCTCTAGTGGTCGAGTTATCAACCAGTTGATGATGACATTACTGTGCGCCGGAAAACCTTTTTGTCCCTTGTCATGACGTCAGCAGCTTGACAGCTCAGTCGGACACTTGTTCTGTTCAATATTTGATTCTCTATTATTAACAGAGCATTTTTAACATAATGAGCTGAGGGTGCGTTTGTCATTTTCTGTATATAAACTCCATACTACACCATGTCTTTCTTCGTAGATTCAGTGATTATGTTCACTTCTCAGGTATGTCTTATCTCTCTTTCATTAAAAAAAATGCATATTGGCATCAACAACGCGAACACAAAAACATGTTACCAAGGTTAAATGCTTTAAATGATAAAAAACTATTAAATAACTTAAAAGGTGTCTGTCTGACTGTGTCTTTGTCTATAACAGATGCCTAATAATAATAACAACAGATTTTTTCCTATTTAAAGCCTTTTAACTTTTGACAGAAGACTACAATATTATTTAAAATAGTTAAATGTTAATAGTTAATATAGTTGTTTTAGTCTTTGGTTTATGTGTTGGTTGTGTATATTGCAACATATTTATGTGTTTCACATAGAAATGCTCGGAGGATGTGTTAAACACTCCAGCTAACATGATTTTGTGTCCACAGGTGCTGTTTTTTGGGTTTGGGTGGCTGTTTTTCATGAGGCAGTTGTTTAAAGATTATGAGGTAATGTGCGTAAGAGTAGATTTAGACCAGTAGTGTTGACTCTGGGCTTTCAGTATTTATAATACAGGTCTGTCTCAATTCCTCCTCAGGTTCGACAGTATGTTGTGCAGGTGGTCTTTTCCATCACATTTGCCTTTTCTTGCACTATGTTTGAGCTCATTATCTTTGAGATCCTCGGTGTATTAAGCAGCACGTAAGTATTCATGACTAAAAAAATCAATGGTGAGAAATGTAGATCAGATGCTCACATGCTGTTTGTTTTTTTAAACAGGTCCAGATATTTCCACTGGAAGCTGAATTTGTATGTAATATTACTGGTTCTGATATTTGTGGTGCCTTTCTACATTGGCTACTTTGTGGTCAGTAATATACGATTACGTAAGTAGATTTTGTTCTCTCTTTATATTTTGTAGCCTTTCCATTTGCTTGTTTAAAGGAATAGTTCACCCAAAAATGGAAATTTGCTAAAAATGTACCTACATTTTTTTTTTTATAACGTGCACACCAATGGATCCTCTGCAGTGAAATTGTGCTGTCAGAATGAGTACATTTTCAGCAATATTTTCTTTTTTTTTGGTGAATTATATATTTATATTTGCACAAAATTTGCTTATGCACCCTACCTTTTTTCTGCTATTTTACAGTGCAGAGACAAAGGTTGCTTTTTTCATGTGTGGTCTGGTTCACATTCATGTATTTCTTCTGGAAACTGGGTGATCCTTTCCCTATACTCAGTCCAAAACATGGTAGGCACTGTCAACATAAAACCTTCTATGTATTTATGAATGTAGCATAATATTTAACAAGAAAAAAACATGTATGAAAAATTAGTAGACTTTGAGAACAAAATCATTTGCTATGTTTGGAATAATGTGCACCAATGATTCAAGCACATTAAGACAATAAATGTGCTTTAGGAAAGTAAATATATTAAAAATAATAATGTATATGTTTTCTTGTATTCTCAGGCATTCTGTCCATAGAGCAGCTGATCAGTCGTGTGGGGGTCATTGGGGTCACACTGATGGCTCTTCTGTCTGGCTTTGGTGCTGTGAACTGTCCTTATACATACATGTCATATTTTCTGAGGTATCTTTGCTCTTATACACATAAAATAACAGAGAATAGCCTGTTGTATATTTTATATGTAAGATACTAGATGTTTGTTTGCTCAGAAATGTGACAGACAGTGATATCCTGGCCCTGGAGAGAAGACTTCTTCAGACTATGGACATGATTGTCAGTAAAAAGAAAAGGTAAGCAGTATAAAGAGAGGGATCCAAGCAGACAGGGCAAACATATTCACAATATCTTGGGCATTTCTGTCTTTCTTTCTTTCTTTCTTTCTTTCTTTCTTTCTGTCTTGGATATCTATTTGCAGTATTAATTAGCATCAACATAATTTTTGTTCTTTAAAGAGATATATACAATATATATATTTTAAATATAACATAAAATATAAGATTTACAGAAATAATTAGCTCTGTATATACACATTAAGGTTCAAAAGTTATTATTATTATTTTTTTTTTAAGTAGTGTCTTTTGTTCACCAAGGCTGCATTTATTTAATAATGAAAAATACAGTAAAAAAAAAATAATACCGTGAAATATTATTACAATTTCAAATATTTTTCTATGAATATATTTTAAGAAATGTTATTTATTCCTGTGATGGTAAAGCAGAATCTTCAGTAGCTGTTTCTCCAGTCTTCACTGTCACATGCTCCTTATTATGCTGAAGATTTTATGTTAAAACATTATGTTGAAAAAAAATCTTTCTGACCCTACATTTATGGCTTTTATATGAACCAAAAGTAGTAAATAAGTACGATTTGTATTCTTTAATTTTGTCATAACAGAACAACATTTTTATTTTTAAGAACTTTTTAATGTCTCTTTGTAGGATTGCCATGACAAGAAGGCAGATGTACCAGCGTGGAGAGGAGCAGAATAAACAGACGGGATTCTGGGGGATGATCAAGAGCGTGACCTCCTCACCATCAGGCAGTGAGAGTATCCTTAATGAGCCAGTTCGTCTGAGGCAGCAGGCTGATAGTACAGGTCCTGAGTTAGTAATTCAGTCTCATTTAGAAGAGACCCAGCAACTGGAGAGTTACTGAGATCACATTTCATCACCATTGTGCCTTAAGTGTCTGAACAAAGCAATTAACTCCTGTTCGCTCCTGGAGGACTGCCACAGCAATTAAATTTAAAGCAGTAGCTAATGGGCAGTAAATAATGTGTGTATGTGTGAGGATGTGCATGTTAAGTAGATTGGTTAACCTGCTGGCTAAACACAAAGGACCCAGATTTTACAATGCATCTACAAAAGCAAATAATACTTTTAATGAAGTCAGACATTGAAATGTGTTCGTTTTATCATTTTTTAAATTGGCTATAAATCCATATGCATATGCAGTCTGAATTGTATTTTCTTTTAGTAATATTGCTCATTGTTTTCAAGGCTGAGAGCACTAATTTTTGGGGGGTTGTGATGCACTAGTTTAGGACCACAGGCTCCTCTGAGGGATGTTTGTTTCTTAACCTTGGCACGGCAGATCTTTCTCTGATCCAGCAGGAGGTGGATGCTCTGGAGGAGCTCAGTAGACAGCTTTTCCTGGAGACCGTGGACCTGCAAGCTACCAAGGTATTTAACAAAATGAAAAATAGTTTTATTTCTATGCACAGGGATGCCATGCTCATGTAAAACAAGGAAGTATGTATCAGGCAATTTAAAACATTGCAATTTCCAGGACAGACATGGAAATTAACAAAATCCTAAAAATAAACAATTATAGTTAATCGTTTTTTTTTTTTTTTCCCCACTTTCCAGTATCCAGTAAATATCCAGTAATCACAGTATAGTCATGGCAATTATTTGGTCAAAATGTGTTTATATAAATCCTTTATATAAATAAAAGTAAGTTTTAAAAACACTATAATGATCTTATGTCTCTCTATCCCAAGGAACGGATAGAATACTCAAAAACATTTCAGGGGAAATACTTCAACTTCTTAGGTTATTTTTTCTCCATTTACTGTGTGTGGAAAATATTCATGGTAAGAATTGTTTTTGCTCATTTTGTTTGGCATGTATTATAGACCATTGTAAAAATGTGTCATAATCAGTGACATAATGTAATGTGTTCTTCATAGGCTACTATAAACATAGTGTTTGACCGTGTGGGGAAGACTGACCCAGTGACGAGAGGAATCGAGATCACAGTCAACTATCTCGGCATTCAGTTTGATGTATGTTATCATCATCTTAGGCTGCTTTATATATTTTGGCTAGCTAAATTTCTTTTAAGCTTCCCTATTAGACTTCTTATTTATTCTTTTTCTTTTTTTTTACTCAACTTTTGTTGCTCAGTAGTGAGTATTAATGGTGTAATTCACTATTGTTCAAAACATTTAGGGTCAGTAAGTTTTTGAAGTTATAAAGAAGTTCTCACCCAGTCTCAATTCACAAAAATATAGTAAAAGCAGTTATATTGTGAAATATTATAACAATTGAAAAAAAGAACAGTTTTCTCTTTTAATAATATACATATTTCTTGTTATAATCAATGTGGAAAACAGTTGTGGGAAACCTGATACAGTTTTTTTATTCATATCAGGATTATATCAGTTTTTTTTAACGGAAAGTTCGAACAGAAATGATTAGAAATAGAAATGTTTTGAAACACATACATTCTACTTTTGAACAATTTAATGCATCCTTGCTGATTTACAAAAAAAGCTGCTGACCCCAAACCTTCGAACAATAGTGTATGTTATGTTTATTGCTGATAAAACCCCCTTTACATTTTTAATGTCTCTTTATCTCATGGGTAAGTCTTCCTTCTTGTGTTTCTATGCCCCCTATTGGCCAATATATAAAACTGTAGACAAATAAGATGTTAGCACTGCTTTGCCAGCAGAAATGACCAAACCAGTTGTTTGTTTACTTATTTAATGATAGTAGTTTTTTTAAAAATGATTACATTTGTTAGTCCACACCCATGTACATAATTGTTGCGTATCCACTCTAATAGACTTTATACTCCTGACTGCGATTGTATATGCATGCTGCGATTGTGTGTGCTGTGTCAGCTGACATTTACTGCTTTGGTTGGCAGTTAATTGTTCCCCAGCCTGTTAAATGACGGTTTAATGTTTCCCCATGAGGAGGTAATGATTCAGCCTCTTAAACATGTAATCTGTGTCCGGCTTCACTCTTGCTCTCTACTGATAAGCGCAAATGCTGCTCATCCCTTTCTAATGGATAAAGCCTCGCAATTTGTGTGCAGAAGAATTTAAACCTTTGTTTTCCCACAGGTCAAGTTCTGGTCTCAGCACATTTCCTTTATCCTGGTGGGAATCATAATAGTCACGTCCATACGAGGCCTTTTAATCACACTCACCAAGGTGATGAACATGTTTTTTTCTCATTCAGTCTTATCACTTAAGGGGAAACGGTCATATATTACTGTACGTGTGCGTAGGCGTGTTGGTTCAGCCGGTGTAGAGGGAGGAGATTATTTCCTTGAGCAACTGCAACATGGTCTTGCTCGAATTCAGTTTCTAAGAAGCATTAATTGATGTTTAAAGCGCATGAAAAGCATGTTTTGGTTAATCTCTTTATGTTTTGTTCACAGTTTTTCTATGCCATCTCCAGCAGCAAGTCCTCCAATGTCATTGTGCTCGTCCTGGCTCAGATCATGGTGAGACATAATAAAAAAATAAAATAAAAAAGAACCTGTACTAACTGTTAGTTTTGTTAAAGTGATAGTTCACCCAAAAATGAAAATTCTGTAATTAATTACTCATCCTCATCTTGTTCCAAAGCCGTAAGACCTTCGTTCATCTTAAAAACACAATTTAAGATATTTCTGATGAAATCCGGGAGCTTTCTGACTCTGCATAGACAGCAAGAGTACTACCACGTTCATAGCCCAGAAAGGTAGTAAGGACATATTTAAAATGGTCCATGTGACATAAGTGGTTCAACCGTTATTTTACAAAGCTATGAGAATACTTTTTTTGCGCAAAGAAACCAAAAATAACTGTATTCAACAATTTTATTCGACTATTTAAACGATGTCCTTACCACCTTTCTGGACCTTGAATGTGGTAGTACCCTTGCTGTCTATGGAGGGTCATAGAGGTCTTGGATTTCATCAAAAATATCTTAATTTGTGTTCTGAAGATGAATGAAGGTCTTGCGGGTTTGGAACAACATGAGGGTGAGTAATTAATGACAGAAATTTCATTTTTGGGTGAGCTGTCCCTTTAATTTTAAGACATAAATACATCAGCAAACGTTTGATGTATGTATGATGTATGAATTTTTTATTGATTATGATATACAAATAATTATTAATAATATATAAATGTTCTTTATTTTCATCAAAGAATGCTGAAAAATGTATCACAGTTTCCACAAAAAAATATTAAGTAGCACAACTTTTTTTTTACATTAATAATGATAAAAAATGTTTATTGAGCATATTTGCATCAGCATATTAGAATGATTTCTGAAGGATCATGTGACACTAAAGCCTGGAGTAATGATGCTGAAAATTCAGCTTTGCATCACAGGAATAAATTACATTTTAAAGTATATTCAAATAGAAAACAGTTATTTTAATTATGTTTTACAATATTACTGTATTTCTTTATAAAAAAAATACACACTTGGTGAGCATGAAACTTTCAGAAATGTAAAAAAAAGCTACTGACCCCAGACTTTTGAACAGTAGTGTAAAAACTGTTTAGTGTTTTTCCAGCAGAAATAATGGATAACTTTAATAATTTTTTTAACCTGGTCTCTCTTTCTCTCTATATATATGAATTGGGAAAAAAAGTGTAATATTATATTAGAAATCAGTTGTCTCATGAATTATATGACATTGTAATATAGGAATCGTAAATAAAAATTTTCGGTTCCAATTCTGAATTCACTTCACAATATGTGTTCCAGACCTATTACATGTTATATTGAAATGTTATAATATTTGGTTCCAGTATTGTTTAAAAAAGTGAAGGTGATTTTATTTGTAGTTTTTGATTCCTTGTCCCACTAATATTTGAAAAATCCTCATATACAAAATGGTGCGATATCTCTGTCTCTGTCTCCCACTCTCTGCTGTCTGTTTGTAGGGCATGTATTTTGTGTCGTCTGTGCTCCTGATGCGGATGAGCATGCCTTTAGAGTACCGCACCATAGTGACGGAGGTACTGGGAGAACTGCAGTTTAACTTCTACCACCGCTGGTTTGACGTGATCTTCCTGGTCAGTGCTCTCTCCAGCATCCTCTTCCTTTACCTGGCCCATAAACAGGCACCTGAGAAGCACATGACCCTGTGACCTCATAAGTGACCTCATCAGAGAGAGAGACACATAGGACTAAAGTGTCTCTTTCTTTTGTCTCTCCTTTTAGAAGGACTTTTATGGCTCTGCCCTGTAATGAGCATTATTGGGTCTGTATTTCCTGAATCAGGAGGTACTCAGAAACAGTGTTTTGACTTTGGTTTAAAAAAATGCTGATTTGCTGTATCATTTAAATAGACTCATATTAATGGAGGGGACAAAATAGTATACAATGTGGGTGTCATTTAAAAAAAAAAATTTTTTTTTATAAAACGCATAAAATTTCCCATACCAGGTGTTATTATGTTTACCACAGTAGGTGAACAAACTAAATGCTCTCACTAGTTTGTTTACCATGAAATCAGTTACTCTTGAGCCATCTTTTATCATTAATAGACATCAGATCTATATCTCGGCAACACCCAGTTATGTTACAGTGGACTGTTGGACTCTTGTTTTTCTTTCAGGCCTGTTAATCGTTACTATCATTCCATGTCTCATTAAGAACTGTAATGATTCACATGTGGATACTGTAATTGAGTGAGAGTCATAATCTTCTGCTTAAATCACATCAACTAGAAAAGGTTTAAGAATATATACACTTTGGGCTTTTGTATTATCATTTTTTTTTTGTGTTAGACAGACAGGTGCCGTTGATTTACTGAAAAGGCAATATCTGCGTGCCAGAGATGTAACTGTCTTGGACTTCTCGTCAAATGCAGGAAGCTCAGATTTCCATTAAAAGGCTTTTTCAAACATTTCCACTGATTCTTATTGGTACATTCAGTAGATTGATGCTGAAAAAGTTTTACGAGGAATAAGAAGTGTTTTGTGAAGAGCATGATGTCTTAAATGAAAAGTGTTTTTAATTCTGTTTTGTGTGGGTCGCAACACCCTCAGTGTATTTCGTAATTCTGAAATGGTGTGACCTGCAACGAGAATCCTCACCTTCATTGGCTGCCACTTCTACAGATATGCTATAAGCATACTGGTGTTTGGTGATGTGAAGAGTGAAAATTAAGCCATTAAACATCTATTATTAAAATGCTTTACCAGCAAAAACAACAGGAGAATTAGTATATGTACAGCCGAAGAACGAAGGAAAGAGCTAAAGACAAAAATGAACAAAAGCTTTGTATACAAAAGTGGGAATATTTGATGAGATGTGATGCACAGGTTGCTTATTTTTTTGTTGGAAGTTAAGATAATTTATTATTGTGAAGACTGCAAAGTATTCATACCCCTTCATTTTTTTCCACGTTTTATGTTGGTACCTTGTTAAACTGCTTTAAATTACTTTTCCCCCCACCATCAATCTACACTCCATACAGGACAAACATCACTGCAACACTCCACCGATCTGGGAATTATAGTGGTGTGGCAAGACTTAATCCTTAAGCTTTAATGAAAACCCAGTCCAGAGCATTCAGAACCTCAGACTGGGGGGAAGGTTCATCGTCCAAAAGGACAATGACGCTAAGCACAGAGCAAGAGTGGCTTATAGACAACTCTGTGAATGTCCTTGGGTGGCCCAGCCACAGCCTGGGCTTGAACACAATCAAATATTTCTGGAGAAACCTGAAAATGTGCATCTGCCCCCATCCAAGCTGCAGAACTTGAGAGGTGAAAAGGTGAGGAGAAGAATAGCAGATAATTGCCAAATGCTGATGTGCAAAGCTTGTTGCATCATATCCAACAAGATTTGAGGCTCTAAAGGTGTTTCAACAAAGTACTGAGTTAAGGGTATGAATACTTATGCAATGTACTTATTTCAGTTTTTTTTTTAAATGTATAATAAATGTACAAAGTTGTGACAATTCCGTTTTCTGCTTTGTCAGTATGGTGTATGGAGTGTAGATTGATGTGGAAAAAAGTAGTTTAAAGCAGTTTAAAGGGGTCATATGATGTTGCTATGAACGAATCTTTTTTCGAGTCATTTCGTTCATTTTAGCAAAATATTAAAATGTTACGTGTTACTTCCCTTACACGTCTACTACTTACGCAAACGTTGATCACACTACAAACAATACAAAACTATAATGCTATAAGAAACAGAAAAGATTAATTAATTGTTTACCTGGGTTTTCAGTCTATGATTTAGCTCACCTCACCTCTTATCTGACAAGTCTTCGGGTTTGAGTCGTTCGTTCATCACGTGACAGCCCCATAAACTTAACCAATGCAGTCTGAGCCGGAAAGAGAATTGATTAGTTCATCTTTCGAGTCTTTCGAATCGTTCGTTCTTTTGTCACGTGACGGGACAGCATTGGATAGAGAAATTAGTTAATTTACAAGATTCCTTATAAAACAGGTGCATAGATATTATTATCATTATCATTATTATAATTATTATTTACTCTTACAGTTACGTGATGCGTTTCTGGTCTCAAATTGTAGCTTTTTACTTCTTACAGTTTATAAATGTGTGAATTTCTGTAATGATGGTTCTTTTCCATAACACTGAATGTTGTAACAAAGGTAATAAAAAGTTGGTTATTATTATTAAGTCTCTTTCCGGCTCAGACTGCATTGGTTAA